TAGAACGCGTGCACGTACACTGCAGCCGTCTGACCCAGCCTTCCAAGCAGTCCGGCTCGTAGCTCGACCTTCGGTTCGCCGCACATCGCCAACTTCCTAGATAAGTTGTCCCTCTCTCTCTTATTCCCCTTCACTCGCGTGCCATCTTGCCACTCCTCTGACCCTCTATAACACACCTTATCAAGGAGCAATCCTGATACATGTGCCTGTGCAAGCGACGAGGGAGAAGCCACCGCCGAAAGGATGACGAGCACTCGGGTGATGGCGACCAACGAGATGGAGGCCACGATGGCGGTAAGTATAACAACGATCACCACAACTGTGATGACTACGTCGGTGCTATCAATCATCATGATTCATAGGTTTCTCCAAGAAGATGTCCGCCAAGACTCGCGTAGTAGCGTAATCATAAAAACCGAAATGAATCTCACCCCTAAACAGCGAAAAATACTTCTTTTTTTTTTTTTTCAAAGAAGTCGTTCCTCCATCCCCGCACGCAGCCCCTGCACCCTGAGCCTCCAAGCTCGCTACTCCATCGTGAAATCCGACACTGCCATCGGATTCGGAATGGTCCCGAACCTCCGGCTAGTCTCTTCTCGCTCTCGATTTCAACGAGAATCAAGCGAGACTTCCATCTTCTTGCTCAGAGATTCCACCATCTCCATGCACCACTTTCCCCTTCACTCTAGCTCTTCGTCCCTCCTGCCTCCAAACCGACTCCATCAATCGATTTGCAGCGCCCCAAAACCCCAATTTAACATCTTCTTTCACTCGATTTCATAAAGAAACGAGTGAAATCATTGTTTCTCAGCCCCGCCATATCCATCATTGTCGTTCCTCCGCGCGGTGCTTTTCTCTACTAACATCCATTCTACTAATCTAACCCCAAAACTAATCTCATCATTGCATTCGCCCGCCCAAAAAACCATAGATTAACATCTCCCCTCGCCCGAATCCATTAAGGATCGGGCGTGATAGGCCAACCCCTACTGCTCTCCCTCTTTTGACACCATCCCGTCTTTGTCGTTGAATGCACCCGGCACGAAATGCAGTCCAGGTTCATCCCCTCCTCTACATCGATGGACCCTCCTGCTCCACCGGTTCCTGCCTCCGGTTCTCCTTCCTACACGGTTCCACCTGTTGATGCAGTCCGCATGTCGTGCCCACAGCGTGCCCATCAACCTCTTCCGCACTATTGTGACTGATTTCTATATCTCCTTTCTCTTACCATTCTTGGACACTTGTGCAGCAGCTCCCGGTTCCGGTATCTACCTTCAACCTTCGACTTCTGCGCTTCTCGTCCGCAGCAAAGTACATGTTGCAGCATTTCAAACCTCTACTCGGTTTCAGTGCTACTCCTACTTCACCGGGGCTACTTTGACGACTTCACCACCAGCTACGTCATCATTTTGACTCGTCTTCATTCTGGAGCTTCATCCGTGGACTACTGCGTTTTTCCTCCTCCATGGAGTTTCCCTCATTCACACCTACCCTTCGCCTTTGAGCTCACCCTTAAGTCCCATGATGATCCCTCCTTCCCTTGCTCGTGTGGGGGTGTTCTTTTACCGCCCCTCAGCCTTACCCTATGCTGCGCACCCTCCTATGGAGTGTATGTTTTCCTTGCTCGCGGCTTTTGACCACATGTCTATGTTGGCATCGCCCTCTCTCGCCTTACGTGTGCTCCCTTATGTGACTGCCCCTTTCCCTTCTGGTGGGGGTACCCGTTTGATGAATACACACAAATGGTCATGCTCCCTTGTGTAAGTGGCCCTTCCCTAGTTGACACTCTCTATACGATCTGATTTCTTTGGAACAATTGTTACTTTATATAGAGAGCAAACTGAAAGACAAAATCAGAATATGGCAGCCTACAATCCAATCCCTGAACACAAACCTTGAAAGCTTCCCATATTATAAGATCACTGATGGCATTCTCTTCTTTTTGGACAAGGGTGAACAATGAATCTGTGTTCCCCATGATGAAGCAGTGAATGTCATGACACCGAAGGTCACTTTGGCTTCAAGAAGACCTATGCCAATATTCGGGAACAGTGGCAAGGGCTGACAAAAGACGTACTGGCCTATGTGAGAACCAGTCTTGTGTGCCAAAGGAACAAGCCGTCCTATGAGAATCCACTAGGACAACAGACTACTTCCTATCCCTAACGGACCACGTCAGTCTATCTCCATTGATTTCATGAGTCTCACCAAGAGTCGAAATGGAAATAGCCAAATCATGGTCATTGTCAATCATTTCTCTAAGTATGCTATGTTTATTCCTCAACCTGCTGACGCCAAAACCAAACTAATAATTCAAAAATTTCAGATGGGTCTCTGAGTATGGATTTCCCAAGACAATCGTATCCAATCGAGATGTGAGATTCACCGGACAACAATAGTGAAGGTTGATGGAAGTGTACGGTATCAGGCTAACCATGTCCTCAGGTAGACATCCTCAAACGAATGGACAGACTGAACAGATGAACTGTTTGTGTCCGCAGCTTTTGCGCATGTATGTCCAAGCGGATTGCCAAAGATAGCAAGTGCATACAACAAGAGTGTCCATACAGTCACTGGTCGGATGCAAAATGCACTGCATAAAGGTTGGCAACCTATGAGACCTATTGATTCTAAGGTACTTGACTTTTGGAAAATCAAGAGTCAGACCAAGCACGGGAATTCAGGCCCGAAGTCAAAGTCAACCCTGTAGTCAGCCCGGCCATAGATCAGACGCACATCATTGGTCATTTGCAGCTATCCGGAAGATTCCAGTCCCGACAGGGAAAGATAGTGCTGCTTCAAGGCTGCATCCAGGCCGTAAAAACTGGGGAAATCTGGAGCGTCGAGACTGTCAAAGGGGAGAATGGTCCACGCCAGTCAACACCGGTCAACGCTACAAAAGAATTGTCAAACACTGGGAAAGGCATTCTGCCTTGTGCTGGCTTGATGCTAGTGTTATGTCGCGAGGCTGCTGGGGCTGAATGCTGGACCCAGATGCTGGAAGTGGACGCCAGCCTGGAGGAAGATTATGTTGGCTCGGCCATAGCCGGGTAGATGTAGACTAGGTGATTAGTATTGGCGAGGACGAGGAGGATCAGGGCTGTGAAAGTGACGGGAGATCTGGGAAAACTTACCTAGACTTACCTGGCAACGACAGGTGTGATCTGCTGCAGTCTCCACGAAGGTGAGGAAGTGCTGCGCCGTCCTCCATATCTTATTGCTGACATGGAGGGAGGATGGGCGCCCTATTATGATCTGCACAGTAATAATGTCAAAGAACGTCAGAGGGTACATGCATTGTTGAGGTGGCAATAGGGAAGAAGCCCAAAGTGGGAGTGGGAGAGAGGGAGACATAAATGTACTACTGATTGCCATTGAGACTCTCCTCCTCTTCTGTCTTTTCTCTCTCCTCTCTCCTCTTATGCAATTCTTTGATGAGACGAAATGGACTGGTAATTCATATTGGAGACTTCATGAGGTGAGCCGGGTTCAGACTTCTATTGCATTGCTAACATGCTTCTCAACGAGTCTGGGTTCATTACGATGGGTTAAAAACAAAGAAAAAGGAAAACAGCTAGCATTTACCTTTTCAGGAGTTGACAACAAACGGTACTTTCCAAGGAAGTCGGCAGACTCGCACCCCCGTCCAACCACTGCTCAAACTCTCTCTCTCTCTCTCTCTCTCTCTCGTGAGCTGGGGGGGAGGTTGCCAAGGGAGTGGGGGGGGGGGGGGGGGGGGGAAGTAGGACGGGAGGACGACAAGCAGGAAGACAACAAAATACGGCCGTGTTCCCCAGTTCCTGAGGAAGATTCTTGCACGGGAGGAGGGGTGGGATGACGAGCGGGAGGGGAAGGCGGACGACGGGGAGAACGATGAACGGTAAAACAAAAAAATATGGCCATGTGTCTCTCCATGTTTTAAAACAAGATCCATTGCAGTTTGCATAGGAGTGGAATGACGAGTAGGAGGGGATGGAGGGGGGCGGGGAGGACGACGACCACGAAGACAAAAAAAAAAAGGCTCTGTATCTCCCCATGTTCCAGTGCATGATTCATTCCATTTTCCACAGGAGGAGCGGGAGGAGGAGGTGTGGGATGACAAGCGGGAGGAGGAGGTGTGGGATGACAAGCGAGAGGAGGGGAAGGAGGGGAAGGAGGGGGATGGGAAGGAAGCCAAACATGAGAACAAGTGGCACGAGGAGTGCAAGGAGGAAGGGGAAGACGAGGAGTGGGAGGAGGTGAGCGACGAACGGGAGGAAGAGTGTCAGGAGGAAGAGCGATATGAAGAGAGGCGAGATGACGAGGGCAGGAAGAGGGGAAGGAGAAGTGGGGAAGAGAGGAAGGAGGAGAAGGGGGAGGACGAGGGGGAAATTGGTGGATGGGAAGGAGCGGGAGCAAGACAAGAACAAACAGGAATGGGAGGAGGGGTAGAGTAGGAGGGCAGGCAGACGTCGGCTGGTTTTCGGGGCAGGAAGAGGTGTGCCACGAGCAAGGTATGGTTGTTTTCCTTTCCATGGCCATGCCTACACACGATCCTCTTTCTCTTTCCAGCCCTCCTCCCGTCCATTTCCCTCTTCTTCTCTCCTCCATCGTCTTCTGTCGTCCTCTCTGTTGGTTGTTTTCCTTTCCATGGCCTCGGCTACACACGTCCCTCTCTCTTCCCGCCCTCCTCCACTCCATTTCCCTCTTCGTCCCTTCTCCATCCTCTTCTATCGTCCTCTCCATTGGGCCACCGTGAGTCTACTTGTTCTTTTGATCTCCAAATGGCCCCATCTTTTCTCTGGGGGTCCTGGCAGCAACCACAAACGATGCCGCATGTCATGGCCTCCCCAGATTGCTCAAGAATCAGATGTTCGGGATCCCAGATGTCCGACCCAAACGTCCGACCCAAGTGTCTGGGCATAGATAGATTTTCTTTCAATTTTCCAAAATTTGGTCATTAGTTTAAAAGGAGTGCGAGCAAGGGGGAAAAAGGAAAAACGAAAACAGCTAGCATTTACCCTTTCAGGAGTTGGCAACAAACGGTCCTTTCCGAGGAAGTCGGCAGACTCGCACACCGGTCCAACCACATCGTAAGTCTTCAGATCTGCTCCTCTTGGTGGAGGTGATACGAACTCTATGTGCTGTTTTTCATGACCCATCGAGCCCACATCCCACAAAAGATGCACACAATACCAAGCAAAATGAGGGTGCATTGGGAAACAAACCAGCAAAACAACCAAATAACTTGTCAGGTGAGATTCCTTCGTATTTGACCACATTGGTCTAGTATAGGTAGCACATGGTAAGGATTACGTGGGTTAGAGTTGCATAAATCAGGATTAGATAGGCTAGGTTACAAAAGGGTATGATAACATGCACTGCCTAAGGTTAGCTTGCGTTATGTTTAGCCTCGAGTACGAGCCCTCTCCTCCAAAACTTTCAGTCATATACAAATGGGTTGCGCTTTCAATGTACTGGCCAGGGACCAGATCAATTCATTCAGGGACAAGAAAAATAGGCCTGGCCACTAAGGGTCCACCCACCAAGATCAGCCACATTACGATAATATTCATCTGGCCTAGGTTAGATTCAACGACTGTCATGGGAGTACCAATTCGTACACCACGCGTCCCAGGAAAGAAAACGCACCTACAGACAGGAACCATCAATTCAGACATTCATCACCAGGAAAAATCCAGATCTGGGCAGATAGGCTCTACCGTCTTCCCCCTAACATAACGCACCCCTGAAAATGAACGGTATACAAGGTATGTTTCCGGCCTGATACAGCCAAAATAAGGGTGCGTTGTGTTCGAGGGAAGACAGTAGAACCCTACAAAGACAGAGGGAAGACAGTAGAACCCTACAAAGACAAAATGAAGGAGTGTTACGATCCTGGCCAATTTCAAAGTGCAAAATTCAAGAGAAAGCCGTCCAATTGCAAAAGAACTTAAAGAATTTGAGAGAAGAGAGAGAGAGAGAAGAAGATGTACACCAACGAAAGACCAATTAAAATTCCCCCTCCTTCTCACCAACCAAACTCCTCCTTTCTCCTCTTCAACCAAGCCGAGGCTATGGTGGACAACTAAGGGCCATGCCTGACTCTGCCTCGAAGCCTTCTTGGTGCGGCGCAACCCCCACTGGGGCCTTCCAGATGCAGCGCCTAACAAGGCGATGAAGATGGTGTCCACCATAGCCACGTAGGTACCTCGTCACTCTCCTCCCTAGTCCCCTTCTTCCTCCTGCTCCTACCGGTAGAGCTCCAACATAGCTGAGGTGGAAGCTCCCCGATTTCTTCCTCCTCCCAGCGCTGAGCTCCCCAGCGCTCTTCCTTCCAGCAGCGCCCGCTTGCTCAAGCAGCATGTCGCCCAAACTTGCATACCGCAAGGTAGAGCCCAGCGCTCTACCCGTATATATAGCAGCCTACCTGCCTCTTGGGTAGTGACTTCCAGGCCACACGTCTTCCAAGCAACCGGTACCTCCTCCCTTTGGAGAGAAACATCTTGCAGGCTCTGATATTGTCCGCAAGGCCCTAGGCTCAGCCTGCTTGGACAGTACCCCCCCAGACCTAGCCTACCAACTACAGGGACTAAAAATGCCAACTTTTCTTCTTCTGCTTGGCCTCCAGTTCCCGACACATCTATTGCTAGAGTATTAGCGTTTTTCCCGCTGCTCTAAATGTCGCAGGCCAACTCCCGCCCCTCGAGTGTTTTCCCTACTGCAACCCTCGAAGTCACGGCCACAGGTAAGTATTGTCCCTGTGGGGCCTCCAAACAGACAAGTGCCCTTGCGGGTCACACACACTCAGACCGGCAAGCACTCAGATAGGCACGCAGACCAGCAAGCACGCACACACACAGACTTAGAAAACTCAGCAGAATGCAGGAATCTCAGCAAGGCATTCATTCCAGTGGCAAAAATCAGAAATCAGCAGTGTTCTTGGT